TCCGGCACTGGCCCACCACATAAAACCATTGTATGCCAGCGCAGACCAACTCAATGGCTCCACAATCTTGTCCAGGGCCTCGTCAGACTCGAGACTCGACGCAGGAAAAGCACCAGTGGTGAGCTTGAAGCTGGTTGAGTTTTCGGAGCGTGGGCTCTCAGCCGTCCTCGGTCTAGGTGTTGTGGCCGTGAGCCGGGTGAGGCCACTCTTCAGAGCACGGAATCGCCGCAGGTCTCGCTGTGTTGCCTTGACGGGCACACCACGAGGGCACTCGACCGTCGGCCAGACCTTGTCCTTCGCATTAGGTGAGTACGGGGGAGGCATGGTGATGAGCATGTCCCAGAGAGTATCCTTCATGGCCAGAATACTGTCAGTAGTGCAAGCAATCCAACCGCTCCCAGCTTCGTCTGGCACGGCGTCATTGCTGTCGGCTTTCTTTCGTTTTGAAGCCTCAAAGTCTTCGACGAGGAAGGGAATATCATGCACGCCGATGGTGAAGAGGGGCCTTAGGCGCTGAGACGAGGATGATGGTGCTAATAGCTCTGCGACCGTCTGGGGGATGTTTGAGAGAACCGAAATGTTGTACACTGGAATTGTGTGAGCTACTTAAGTTTCGGGAATCCGGTCTGAACGTACCAAAGTTGCAGATTTCACGCACTGGCGCGTGACAGGATATCAAGATACGCTTCCGGAGCAAAGCTGCCCGATGTATGGGAAAGATGAGGGGACCAAAAGTGTCCAGCAAGTCTGTCAAACTCCAGGCCGGATGGTACGGGGACAGTCGATGGCCGGGATGCACAAGCGCAGCACCATCGGAAGCGGAGCGGTTCCTGTTGTGGCTCGTCTTCTTCGGCTGGGTAGCTTGGGCACTGAAGCTGACAGAAGGCGACTCCATTGGGGGGCGTTCCTGATCGGCGTCCTCTTTATCTCGGTTGTTCCTCCAGTATTCATCAAGTATTGCCGTATTCTTGCGATCCTCGGCGAGTTTTCTGTTGAAATTCAGCAAGATGAGCCATGCATAGCGTAGATGCGCACTCACGCTGCAATGTCCTTCAGGCCCTCGGCGTGTCTCCACGCTCGGCCAAGCCGACCATAACTCAGAGGCACCAAGACTCCCACGGCAATCATGCGCGCATGACGCGCCTCCTCCTCGTCGCATGGCGTGTTGATGAATGCGCTGAGGCCTGCATGGGCGCCCTCGTGAACGAAGTAGATCAAATCGTCGGGGACAGTGTGCAGACCCGAGGGCAAGCTCTTGTACTCAACCAGTCCCTCAAGCTCGATACCGGGTGCAGCTTGTTTCCATACGATTGTGTATCCAGCTTTGACGTCAAAGTCGATGAGAAACAGCGCGGAAATAGGAGGAAGTTCGGGTTGCGCGGGGCCTGTCGGCAGGCGAACGGAGAGGTCCGGTTGTACTCGGCGGGAGGGCATCGTCGATGTCTTATCGGGTCGAGCTCATTATACGGCAGTGAAAGGATGCGCCAATCGATAGGGCGCTGAAGTTGGAGTTATCCTTTCCTTCTCAGTAGGTGTCGTCTCGATGTATGGCGAAATGGAGAATTTTAACGGGGCAACTGCAGGATTCGCGATGCACTTGGCGACTGTCGTGCGATCGATGTTGAAGCTCCTCGCCGTCGGGCGACAGTTACCGGCGCCGAGTACTTACCCCAGGCAAGACGCGCCGGGATGTCTTAGTCATCACTATCGATAAGGTGTCGGATATCGATAGCACCTTGTGGGGTTCCTGCCGCTACCTGCCGTTGCTGGGCTCGTGGGATATGATAACGTAACGCACCTGTGAAAGCACCCTAGCAGTTTAACATGTGTCAATGAGGTTCGCAGATGCCATCAGAATAAAAATAAAAAGGCGAGGTTGCGACTGTGGAATAGAGCTGCATCTTTCGTGGGGCAGGCGAGCACCCCGGCCATCATCGAGCACGGCTCCGAGACATGCCACTAAAAAGCTGGCTAGGCCTGCCACATGCTTTTCGCAAAGAGGCACCGACGAAGGAGACACGGGAAAGTCATGGGCCCCACCATCTGGTGTCCCAGTGTACGACACAATGGCATCGGGGAGCTGACGGGACCTTGATTGCATTCTCCCAGTTCCGTGCCGTCCGGTCTCTCCCCTTCCCCAACCCTTTCCAGCCTCGCCTCCGGAACTCAACTGCCACAGAACCCACTGTCCAAAGATCTGATGTCAGTCCGCACCTACCCGCCCCTCTCTTGCTATCAGTTTGTCCGCTCGTCCGTCTTCTGACTTGCGATCCGCACCTAGACCGGACGATGACTTGTGCTAGTGGCTTGCCGGCAGCAAGTCAAGGTCTAGCGCGCTCTCCCTCAGCTGAGCAAAGGGCGGCGGCAGCAACGGTCTTGAGGTGGATGAGCGGATATGGAAACTAGTGTTCCCTTTTCATCCCGTCCTTTCCCCAACGACAACTGTGCTTGCCTGGCCTAGCCACAGCGAAGACTGTCAGTCGTGCATATTCGCGGGAACCAGCAGCAGCAGCATGACGACTGCTCAGTGCTGACCTGATGAACATGTTTAAGTTATGGTACACTAGGTACGTACCCGTCACCGCAGACCCCGCCGTTATTGTGGGGGCGGGATCTTGGCCAATCACGGGCACCTCCTCAACGACTGGAGGGGCGCCTCCCCAGGGGAGTTAAAGTCATCCCACCAAAAAAATAATCTCTTGGGAAAAGAAGCAGCCAGAGAACCCCACTGCGTGTTCACTTTCTGACCTCGACCCTGCGAGTGCGACCCCCAGCACCCATGACCATCAACCAGGGCCACGGCCCATGAGGTCCTTCTCTCCAATGGAAGAGCTTGCGGTGTGCATCCGCCACTTAGCTTTGGTCTCCACTCTCTTCGCCTGTATCTGTACCGCATCTTGCACCGGCGCCGCATTCCCACCAACGTATCCCCGTTCGTTCCCTTACATCGTCATTGTATGAGTCCTCCTTAACCTCCTCCCACCCCTTGAGACATCCGCACTCCTCCATACAACCACATTGTGTGTGTCCTCGTAACATGTGTCTGTGGAAGCTGTAGCCTTCAGTGCCTCTTCCTCACCTCTACTCTCTCTCTTGCTCTACCTGACACGTGCTGTCTCCTACCTTCAACTCGCCCCGAGTTCCCGCCCTTGTGACGATCCTTCGTTCCTCGGCCTCAACCCCGCGCTCGAAAGCTCCTCAACCATCTCAACCCTATGAGACGCGCGCCCAAAGAAGCTTAACGCCCCGCCATCCCGACTTTCACACTTTCCCAGGCCTGCCCTCTTCCGCGCGCCTGTCTCTTTTTACGCCAGCAGCCGCCCGTTTCCCGCCGCCCGCACCTACCAAGCCTCCCAAGAAGAATCCCAGCTTCCGCCAGCAGCCATGTCGGCTCTCCTGGGCTACATCTTCTCCTTCTTGAAGGGTTATGCCGCCCTCGTCGTCGCCCTCTACATGCTGTCCTTCGTCGTTCCCAAGGCCGCTTTCGGCGCCCGCGTCCTCGCTTCCTACATCTCCCTCGTCGTAGCCGCACTCTACGGCGTCTTCGCCTCCATCTTCCTGCGCATCGTCGGCAACCCGGGCATCGCGCAATGGACCACTGGCAGAGCCTTCCACTACCTCATGGCCCTCACCACCGGCGTCACCTTCGAGCTCGACGACTCTAAGGACATTCTCGGCAGCACGCGCCCTGCCGTCTTCGTCGGCAACCACCAGACCGAGCTCGATGTTCTCATGCTGGGCGCCATGTTCCCCAAGTACTGCAGCGTCACCGCCAAGGCCTCCCTCAAGAAGACGCCCATCCTGGGTTGGTTCATGACCCTCAGTGGCTCCATCTTCATCGACCGCAAGAACACAAAGGACGCGAGGGAAGCCATGTCTGGCGCGGCCGACGAGATCCGCAAGAGGAAGCAGAGCGTATACATGTTCCCGGAGGGCACCCGCAGCTACGCAAAGGATCCCGTCTTGCTGCCCTTCAAGAAGGGCGCATTCCACCTGGCTGTCCAGGCCGGCGTGCCCATTGTCCCCGTCGTTGTTGCAAACTATAGCCACGTTCTCTGGCTCAAGGGCCTCGTCTTCAACTCTGGAAAGATCCCTGTCAAGGGTAAGTCATCTGGTCGTCCAAAGACCACCTCAAACATATAAAGTGGCGTATGCTGACTCGATCCTCCCCGCAGTCCTGGACCCGATCCCCACCACCGGCCTGACCTCCGCGGACGTCGACGAGCTCACCCGCAAGACCCAAGAGCTGATGATGCAGGAGTACATTAGCCTCTCGGCGAAGGCTCAGGGCAGGCCCATGAAGATTGCCATCGCCGGTGACGTTGCGTCCGCAAAGGCAACCGGCGCCGATACCACGGATACCGTCTCGGCATTGTGAGCCGCTCCAACACAGACAAACGTATCTGGAGAAGACGCCGCGCCTCTCCAGAAGATGCGTCCCCCAGACGGTGCATCATGTTCCCCGAGGGCACTGATCAGACCGTTTTCGCCAGCCAGGACTAGGTCAGCAAATGGTGGTTATGGGTAGGGTAGACTTGGGGGGGCATTCTTTGATACCCTATAGACCGAAGGCACTTGCATTTCTCACCTGCCATGTTGGGGCCCTCCATCAGGCCAGGCGAGTTGAGAAGACTAGATTATTCGGCATGATATGTAGATGAACCCGGCGTGCAGGCAGCATTTGGTATGATGACATTAAAGTTATTTTCTTCAATTGAACATGAGTGCTTGCGCTGTGTGTGACTTGCAACCATGTGGACTTCATGTTGCGGTACAACAGCTGACGCCTTCGCAAGACACCGACGACGACGCCACTAACAGGAATATGCGTGTACATGAGCCCACAGAAAAAGTAGTCACTACAGCACGGGAAGGTAGGCGCTTGCTTCAACTCATGCATTCTGTAATTCATGCTGCTATCATAATCCCGTAATCCTGCTCCTTGTGCCATATACATTCTCAATGCAACACGCCAGTATGCGGACCATCATCGCCGATCTTCAAACGTCAGAAGTCGCCCTGGTCAAGTCTGTATTGATGACCAGATCATCCTTCCCCTTCAGATGCATGACAATGGTAAGACCCTCAACGCCCAGCTCATCGTCACCCTGCCCGACGTTCACCCCCACGTCCACACCAGACGATCCAAGCCTCTCTCTGGACATGATCTCAGCCTTCAACTGCCGCACTTCTGACGTCAGTCTCAAGTAGTGCTCCTTCCAGGTGCAAGTGTGTTCAGATGAAATCACAGGTGCTGGGCTGAGAATCTCAATCTCGTTCGACTGTCCGCGATGTTCGAAGCCGTGAGTAGCGCTCGCCTTGTTGTCTTCTTCGACAACGTTGGAACCCGAGGCAGAGTGAGTTTCCTTGACTGTGTGTGAGATCTGAGTGTTGGTCTCTGACTCGACTCTTGTTGACGTTCTGGAGCTTGACTTGTGGGAGGTCGAGGCTTGGACCTCCTCGACACGTTTCGAACTCAGAGGCGCCGGAGGCTGAGGCTCTTCTTTTGTTGCGTCGGTAGCAACATCGACAACCTCAGCAACAGAGGAAGGCGACGGTAAGCTTGTTTCATCGTGGCACGAGCTGCAAGTCTCGGCTCGCTGTCGGCCGCCATGGTGCGAGTCCTCGACCTTTCGAAGCTGAGATCTCCAATTCTCAACTTCTGTCGACTGTTGTGTTTGAGCTTGCTGGGATATGTTTTCCTCTTTCTGGACTCGGCGCAAGGGCCGTTGCATCCATGGCAGCGTCGCCTTTGGCTTTTCCTCCACGGTCTCCTTTGTCACCGTCACTCGCTTCAGCTTCGGCCACTCGACTGTTGACTCGGTTATGGCCGAGCCAACCTGATCAATCGAAGACCTCATTTGGGGTGTGCTCTTGGTCTCTGTCACGACCCGTTGGCTCGTGATGGATCCTCGATTTGGACTCAGCCATTCTGGAGGATTGGATAGTCGAGTATCCGGACTTGGCGGGGTATCCGAGGCTCTTCTCTTGATCGGATCGACGTCAAACGACTGAGACCTCTCCCATTCGCGAAGCTCGAGAGCCCTATTGCTCTTCTTTTCTGCGGCAACAGCTGTGTCGAAACTGATTAGCCTGCCGCGGTTGACCGTGTTGATACCGGGTTTGGCCAGAAGTCTGTCGACGTCCATTACACTGGACGTCCTTGCCCTGTCCGTGACTTGGCTAGAGCGGTGCTGCTCTGACGCAGCGGATCCTGCAGCGAGATGCTCCATGATATGCTGTGTTCGCCTCAGGTCGTCGGCATGATGATACATATTGTCAATCTTGCGTTGGACAGGATCATCCAGCGGAGCATGAGACTGAAGCTCGTCAGTAGCATCCATCGTTGTGTGTTGGCCCACAATGCATGCAATGCTGTGACGCTTGCTATGGTGGCCAGCATGTATGGCATTGCACCCAGGATTTCTGCAGTCTCCGTGAGTCCCAGCAGTCGTGGAAAGGTCATTTTGCTGCGGAACACAGTCTGAAAATCGAGACTGATGCTCTCCGCGAGCAGTGGCATCAGTGACTCGGGGCTCGGCAGTGACGACCTTTGTCATCTTGTCCGCCACGATGAAGGGATTGTCTTTCAGTGCTTGCGAAGCAACTGTAGCATTTTGCACTGTCTTGGACGAATGAGTGCTGTCCTTGTGGGAAGAAGACCGAAATTCCTCTTCAGTCACATTGAAAGTGTGCTGCTGGGAGGTTATGACTGTTTGTCCCGAGCTCTCCGTGCGTCGATGATCATCCTCGTCGCCAGGGATTTCGCTGGAACACTGGGGGCAAACCGAATGGCCGCATGTGGCACAGAACGTCCGGGTCGTTACTACCGCTCCGCACGAGTGACAGATGTTGCCGACATGCCTGGGAGTGCTGTTGGTACCGTCCTGGTGGCGCGAGAAATCCTCTTCGTCGTCGTCAGAAAGCCAGCCGGAAGGTCGTGAGATTCCAAACTCTTCAAAGATATCACGGGCGTGACGCAGGCGGATCGTGGGGGTGGTCAGCTCGGATTCCTGGGAATGATACGAAGACGCAGAGTTGTTCGAGAAGAGACGACGCGGCTTGAGGCTTGGTGACTGCCGAGAGGCAACATCCTCAGCAAGTTGGTCCTGCTGGCCCCGGGTTTTTGACCGGAGGCGTCCAGTCGATGCTGTCTGACGCAGCTGCGTTGGATCCGGGTCCTTGTTCTTGGGAGGTGTCAGGTAGGCTGACTGCTGCGGACGCAGCAATGGTGTTCTGAAGATCCTGGGCCGGCCCCAGTCCTCGCCCTCAGGGCCCTAGCCAGGGAACGAATGATCTTGGGATGGAGCCTTGGACTCCTCGACCATTGTGTTGCGGGTCGCTGGTACGGCGAAGATCTTGTCGGCTCGTTGACCCTAACCGAACCGAGTAGCGTCGCATTCTATACTGCCGCGTGTTGTTGACCTCCGCTTCGCAAAGCGAGGGGGAGTCGGCTTCGCAAACTTGAGTCGTCTCTGCGAAACAAATCCCTGTGGGATGTCGTCTCCTTCTCCATCAGACTGATAGATGGTGACGTCGGACCGAGGCGCCCGATAGTTGGCAACGAAAGGATAATCCATGCCTGAAGACAGTGGCAAGTGATTGTGTATGGCTGTATAATGCTGGGATAAGTGTAAAACAGTACTAGACCGGATGGATCGTTGGGTGTTGACAAACGATGCACCGGGATGAAAGATACGGAACATTAGTTAGGAGAGAGGTTTGCCTCGTAGGAGGTCAGGGAGGATATTTATGGAGGTTGAAGCTGGTGCAGAAGCCCCCGTACCTGGGGCAAGAGTGAGGGGCATCGGTGACATATCCCTAGGCAAGCTCGACCCCTCGGCCCGAAGTAAGACGGAAGGACCGTTCAAGGCATGGTGCAAACGCAGCAAGCACGGCACGCACAGGTTCGAACTACAAGCAGGTGCTCAGGAACGTCGCACGTGGATTCAATTATGCGATGTTAGATGAGTTAGGGAATCCGAGTCTTTGATGTACAACGTCATTTGTCCGACGACCTCTTTTACACTCTCTATTTCAGGGCAGCCTGGAGGCTCTCGAGGACCTGCGGGGTCAATCAGCGTGTGGCCTGCTTAGCCATTCGGCAGCTACTCACCTCCAACTCGATCTTGGCCTCAGCAATGTCCTGCTCGCTGCCGCTGCCGTTGGCAACCTTCTGGGCCTCGGCGATCTGGGACTTGACAGCCTCGGCGCTGAAGTCCTCAATGGGGTAGCCCTCGGTGGCGTTGATGCTGAGGACGGAGTTGGGCTGGACAACGGCGAATCCACCGGAGACTACATGGCCGTCAGTTCCTTCAATTCGATATCCCTTGCAAGCCTGGCTTTGCGATTGGTGCACGTACGGAAGAACTGCTTGCTGGGACCGCTCTCCTCAACGACCTCGACCAGACCGGGCTTCAGCTGCTCGATGGAGGGGACGTGGTTGGCGAGAACACCCATCTCACCAGAGTCGGCGGGGATGTTGACCTGGACGACATCCTTGGAGCTGTAGATGGACTGCGATTGCGGCAATTAGCTTCCGAACCCTTCAATTGGCTTCCTCCGGCGCATGTAGCATGCAATCGTTTGTCGTCGGCTCGGCCGCGGCTCAATTCATCTCGGAGGACATCGGGGTCGTACCTGGTGAGGGAGGGACAAGCTCAGCTTGATCTGCAAATTGTCAGTAGGCGCTCGGGGTCGGTTCGGAGGCTGCACCGGTGCTTGCCTTGTCGGGGACGGCGTCCGCATAGGTTCGGCGCTGGAGGGGAGCGCGGATGGCAGCAGGGCGAGCTCGGAGAGCCGCACGCGCGATGCGGAGGGAGTTCATGATGGGCTGAGCTGGCAATGGGGATGTGTTGCTGGAGACAGCTCGGGTGAGGTCGCTGGCAGGAATCTTTCGGCTGAATCCATTCGCGATTCGGCTAGCGGGAGAAACTTTGGTCACGCCTCCGGGCACATGACCTCGAAGCACAGGCCATGAGCGATAAGCTGATAAGACCTCTGCAAGGATTCCAATGCCGTTATCCCATAGTCATTCTCTTAACGTGTGTATTCGATTAAGAGTCACCCATCAATAAGTCGCGATGACTTCATCGCCGACACGGTCAAATCCCAGGTAGAGATTGCTTGAGTGTTTTCGAACTCTTGCAGTCAGGTTTGTTCTTCCCACGCATTGGTCATGAGATCATGCTGAAGAACAGTCCTCCCATCGCCACGTCTGCTATGTCAGTACCAACATGAGCGAAACCTTGTGAGACTTTGAAGCGTCCATATAGATGTTCCAAGCACCATGATGGGTAACTTCATGCTTTAGGATGATGACGAGTTCTCATATTTACGATGCGCAAAGTGTACAAAGGTCCTTCAGGTCGATGATACCTTCCTTCGACTTCGAATTTGTGAAGCTACGTGGTTGGGTCCTGGGCCTCGAATTTCTCTCGGGATAAGATCATCCTGTGAACTCCAGCTTTTCTTCCCAACGACTCACAAAGTTTAACATTCGGAGGCTTCCTGTGCTCGAGGAATCAATCCATCGATTTAAACTCCCGAAAATTGCGTTTCAGTCTTGTTCAAATCTGCTCCTTTCCCTCGTAACACTCAGCTGCAAAAATCTCAAAGAAATCAATATGGCATCTACCTCGTTCTGCTCCCCTATAGCGTTGCCAGAAGCCGCGGCTCTTGAAAACCTGATGGCAATCAAGTGTCCTAACGGCCCCCACATACCCACGGAGGAGGACTTGGAGAAACAGAACCTCTTCGAAGTAACGTGCCCCCGATGCCACGAACGCGTTGTTCAAATGGCCCAACTCTTTTCCAAAACCTGTCCCAACAGCGACAGTGGATACGGTCCGTTAATGTATGGCATCGTGCGGGACATGGCCGCGGGAAACAGACTGGGTGGCTGCAACTTGGACATAGCAAATATGATGACATACCAATGAAGGATGGGGCAGCTTGCTGATCGCGCTGTCAAGAAATTTGGCCTGCCTGCGCCGAGTAACGAAAACTGTATCATGTGGGAGGGACTTGGTCTTTGGCTCTATCGACATCGCATGTCAGACTCGGAGTCAAAACAAAGCCTTGAGAGCCTTCGACAACTGGCCAACCAAATATTCTTGCAACCCCACGTATCTGGGCCACAGCCTGACAGTACCCAGGGATACTATTTTGGACGCTTCATTGAGTATCTATCGGCAGCAGTTGCCGAGGCGCGCTTGCCAGTAGATGAGACCGAAAAGTTGGTCGAAGAAGTGAAGGTTTACATCAACTCCTTGACGCATCTGTCCTGAAGCACTTTCCGCCAGCTGTCTGATCAGATGAAGAGTAGTCTAGGTGTGTGTTGTATCCGGAGCACAGCTCCTGACGCGCAGCGAGGGAGATACATATAACGATACCACCAAAGCTCGTGCGCAAAATCAATATGACGTATCTCTTCGCGGATTCATCGGCTGAGTGGCGCTCATGTGAGGTTATTTTCAGAGCCCAGGGCAGGAAGTAGGGCTTTAGGGGGTAAGCACGGAGGGCTACGCTCCGGAAGCTTTGCTGAGGACAGAACCAACATCGAAGGTCTGGTTATGGTAGACTACCAACGTCTTGGTCATTCGTAGACGTACACTTTGAGGGCTAGATGCGGTTTAATTAGTATCACTAGGTAGCGGGAGGCGTTTGTATTGGATGAAGCGAAAGTCCATCACGACGAGAAGACCGTGATTCTACAGCTTAAACCATGAGGTCTCATATGATCATTTAGTTCATGGACAATCCCACCCAAGACAGCCCTTCGTTCTTGAAAGTCGTCAACATAACTTATAACAGGGTTGAGAACTCCCGATCAGATAGACATCCCCATGGCACGCTTGTTGTCAACTAGTAATTATAACCTTCGAGAAGATGCTCAAATATGTGCGACATGTTTCAAGCCAACAAGAAGCCGTTGACATCCAAGCGAGGAAAATGTAAGCCCGCTGAATGCATGGGCTTGATATAGGGATTGAAGCATGCGGTAGGTCACAAGTGCAATTGCTCCTTTGTCGTGGACTACCTGATCTCCAGAAGAGGAGGCAGCGTCAGACCAACGGAAAGAAGGACAGTTACCCAGGTCTTATCACCCCCCCCGATGAGTTTTTCCTTTGAATAGACGTCTCTCAGTACTCCATGGTGGTCTACGGAAACATCAACATAACGAAGACTGTGCTTGGTTTCGACGCAATGCTAAGTCTCATTAATTATCACTTCATAACACCCAGGGGTCAGAAGATCAGTGAATCACAGGCAAAGCCAGTCACTTGTATCACTTGATTGACGACTGTTGCACAGTAAATACCAGGGCCGATTATGAAGTGAAGGGCTTCAATATTATTCAAATTGACAGAATTAGTGGTCAAGCCACGGAGGGAAACCAACAACCTACGTTACTCATGAGAAATGAAAGAAGCGTGAGATGAAAATGAGAGCCGGTTCATAGTTTTAAGGTCATCAACCCACACAAAGCAGCCTCAGAATTGAGAAACTTGACGTGTATCGATGCTCTTCTGTGGTGTTTGACCCAAAATGTCTCTGGTTTCCCGGAGAATGGTAAGCGGGCACGCGAGTATTATTTTCAACCAGCTGTGGAGGACAAATTGAAGGATTAAACATGCTCTGAACAGAACGATAGTCAGTTTTCCTGGACTGCCGTGACTGCTTCAATAGCTGAAACGTCGAAGTCTTAACCTCCCTTAAGAACGCTGGACGTTGATCAATATCCCACCTCGCAATCCTGTGCCAATAGTTTCAACCAAGAGAGACAGCCAAGACGATAGTTGCACACGACGAGACAATACACCATAAAGGCGCGTAGTTCAGTCCGAGCAACGCCAACGGAGCTGTTCAACAAATGTCGAGCATATGCCTCAAAAAGCAACTCAACCAGCTGATCAAAAGATATATCTCTTGTAAGATATGCGCAGGATGACACTTCCCGCAACACCTCATCAAGGCATGCTCCTCCAACCTACCCTCAGCCTCGTCCGTCCCCGGCAGTCAACACCGCTCAGCAGGCAAGACATCATCGTCATCAAGCAGCCGCAATCACAGACATCACATGCACCTGCGTCTGCAGACACCTGCCAAGGCGTGCATACCACGTTGACTTACAAGCGGCCGCCCATCGCCGCGTTCCGCCTACAGAATCTCACGCCCAAGACACACATATCTCAGCCAGCCCCTTCGCGAATTGGGTCTCATCCAAGTCAGCTTATAGGCTTCACATGCTACTGACACACTCACATAGAACGCAGTGTAAACCGGATATCTGACAAGCCTTCAGCACCGGAAATCTGACAATACACGGCATTTCTCGAATGGGGCAATGATGTGCCGTGAACAACACCTGAATATCATTTCCCCCGCCATACAACTCGAGTCAATTTGACATGCGGCTAACACTTTGGTGGCTTACGTTTCCGACTGCTGCGTACACGCCCAACGACAATCACCAACCCGTGACCGTCGATCACATCTCCCAAAGTGTCGCCTGCTGCATGATACTCGACTATCATTTCTAGATACCGCCAGCCCGACAACACACCATCTTGCAAACCTAAACGTACACGTAAACACGGACCGACAAGCCACAAGAAAAAATCCCGAACGCCTCGCAGAATCCCATACCTGGCAAGATGGCAATGGCAGTGGCGAATGCACACACAAAGGAGACAAAGGGACTTTCCTCTCCGACTTTCGGACCGGTGTGAAACGAAACACATTGTTCTCTCCCTGCCCACCCTTCCTCCCCCCAAACGCAACCTTGCTGATCGGTGATGATCGATTTCCTTCCCGCCCCAAATCCGAGCCGAGGACAGGATGAGATTGGAGAGAGGGAGGCATTAACGGCGGCGGCGGCGAGACGTTGCTACCCGTGCCATCCACCAGCAACTGTTAACCGACAAAATGTGCGGCTCATGAAACACCATGAGGACGGCCCTGGAGATAAGGCATCCAGCGAAAGAAGGTGAGGTCACACCTCTACACGCCGTGACTCGCCGTGACTCGCGAAATGCGCACCGGCACGATCGAACCGAAGAAGGGGGCTCGGAACCGGGCGAAGATGCAGGCAGACTTATTTTACCGCCGCCGCGGCAAAACCTCGAACCTCCTTGTGTCACCCAGGGGCTGCCGTCTTCCTTACCACGTTCTGGAAGGAACCGAGACGCTTGAGATGGGACGAAAACAGCAGCGATGGACACACGATGCGGCGAAAGGAGACGGGCAAGGTTATGGGTAGGGCCTGCTGGATGTGTAACAAGACTTTTCTTCTACCCAGCGCTATCTCAAGGCCAGCTGCATCAGGCTTCCCTTACATCGCAGCAAGGCAACAGGATCGCAGGGTCGTCTAGCAGCGGCGGCACTAACACGAGTAGGCAGGACAATGGGGCCCCTCGGAGAGTTCAGTCATCACGAGTTGGTTGACAGGAGTCAGCCAGCACAGGAAAGATGGCTCCTCGATGCGACTGCCCGTCGTATGCGAGCGCCCGTCCGACACGAGAAACAAGGGTGGTGGGCTGCAGCATGTCACTCTGTAAGCGTACAACATACTTTGTCTGCCCTCGAAGACCCTGGATCTCGCCATGAGAAGGGGTTCCTGCTCGCAAACCTCAGAGATTACGGGCAATAACAATGCACACACGGAAAAGAGGTGAACAATGTCCATGCCTGTTGCCATTCGTAAACAATCCGGCACGCTAGAGTCGAGAGTCAATCGCTCCTGCGCAGCTGACCAACATCTGAATCGCTGGTAGTCTGGAGGGGGGAAAAGGGCCCCCTTCCACCGAGGACCTTACCCAAAGC